TGGACTGCGACTGAGGGGCCATAAGCCCCTAGTCTGATCTTGCCGCCTGGGGCGCGGAGATCCGCGAGACCGATTTCGACGAAACAACTTGGGATGGCGATGGACCCGGACTGCTCGCCTGTCGTCGCCTCTCCCGGCCCGCACCCCCGACACCACCCGAGTCCGTCCCCGGTCCCGCTTCTTCGTCGCCCGCCTCGGGGCTCCCGGCCCCCTGATCCCTCACTTCCTCGACCCCAGCTCCCTTGGACCGCTCTCACCTCTCCCGGCCCCGGCGCCGCCGCGCGTTGCTAGGACAACGGCTGCTCGTGGAACGCGGAAACAGCCGAAGTGAGTGACTAGGAGGCCGAGGCCGCCCGAAACGCCACGAGAGGCCGGAAAGAACCGAAAATGATCGGGAACGTTCGTGCGGAGGGTTAGATTGCCAAGCGGGTTCCCGCGGGCGGCGAGCTCCACGGTCTTACCGGGCAGTTTCCCCCCCATCCCAGCCACGGTCGGGAATCAACAACGCTGGCTCGGAAAGTGGGGCCAAGAGACCAGGGTATGCCATCCTGCGCAGAGAAGGGAGCTGGCGAAATTCTTCTAGGGGTGATGGCGGTACAAAACCTGTTGGGATTCGCTCCTGTAGTTACACCTTTTCAACCGCTTAGGTCTGTCAGAAGGTGGAGGAAGGCAACTGAGACTGTCGGGGAGAAACGGAACGCCATCTTCTTTAAGAGCGCTCTCTTGTTAATCTTATTGCTGGGTCTTCGGGACCCCAGACCGTTTCTAGGTTCTGCTTTGTCTGATCTTAAGAGGTGGTTCAAGAATATTCCTGAGAAAAGCCAATTGACTCGACATACTTCCTTGAAGTTATTAATTTATCACGTGCATTCAGTGCTTTGGGGGACTATGGTTTGAAAAACAAAGCAATGTCATGTCATTAAAAAAATAGTTATTAGGGCAAAAAGATCCATTGTTAAACAAATGAAAAAAAAAGTGTAGATACCACTGGATGAGATGGGATAGGCGTCTCCAAGGAAGACTCCGAAGTTTATATTTTTTAAAAACTCACTTTCATATACAGAATATTTTTCTTGTGTGTCTACTTAGGTGCCTTATGAACATTTTGGCTATTTTTTATTTTTCCCTTTTTATTGAATATATTGGGGTGACACTGGTTAACAAAACTATACAGGTTTCAGGTGCACAATTCTACAACACATCTGTGCACTGTATTGTGTGTTCACCACCCCAAGTGTCCCTTCACCACAATTTATCCCCTCTATGTCTCCCTCCATCTCCGCCACCACCTCAGAATTTTTAAGGAATAAATTTGTGTAAATTTAAGGTATATAGAGATGTTGTTTTGATGCACTTAGATATTGTAATGATTGCCCACATAGCTTATTTATCACAGTAATTGTAGTACAATATTATATTTATTATACTGTGCATTTGATCTCTATCGCTTATTTACTACTCCCTACAAGTTTATCCTTCAACATCATTACTCTTATCCCACCCATAAACACTAGAATTTTAAAAACACTCCTTTATTTCCCTAATGAAGAAAAAGGGCCTAAGTGCCCAGCACTATGTGCTTGCCAAAAAAAGTTTAAAAGCACACACCCAACCCAATAAAGGGTGTATTTATCCGCCTCGGTTGCACTTCCACACTTGTTTCGCGCGGGATTCAACACTCGGAGCTGAGGCGGCGTTTTCTTCTCACGCATCCGTCATACGGCCTTAACCAATCACAGCCAGGCACTGATTCTATTGGCTGTCGCCCGACCAATCCGAAGAGACGCACAGCCTGCAAAGCCGCAAGGCGGCGTCACAACATTACCCGCGTCGCAGACAACACCCTCTCGCCCCCGCCCCGCGTCGTGCGTGCAAGCAACCGCGCCCACAGATGGCCAATGGGAGCGCCCTTAGGGGGGCGCGCTCGCTGAAAACTCCGGACGGGCTCGTCCCCGCGCGCTTCGCCCCTCCTCTCTCCGAGCGCCCGCCGCCTTTGTCCCGCCCCGCGCTCCGCCCTTGCGGTCTCCTTCGGCCGCCGTAGCCGGAACTGCTGCTGTGCGCGGCTGGCCGGGTCTACGGGAGGCTGAGCGGCGGTAGCCTTGGCTCCCGCAGCCCAGTCAGCCGCACCCCGGCCGCGGAGAGGACGTGCCGGGGCAGGCGTTGCTGGTGGACTGTTTCCGAAGCTGGTGCACCACCCCGGCGTAGCGGTCTTGCTGCAGTCGGGGACCGGGGCTGCCCGGCCCGGCCGGATCTGCGGGCACCCGGGAGGCCCCCGGAGGGCCCGGGAAGCCAGGCTGCTGCGGGGCATTGATGAACAAGGTGACCGGAGGCTGGGGCTCGAAAGGGATAGGCCGCCTCGACCGGCTGTCATGGCGATACCGGGCTCCCTGCTTAGGTGGGGGCTGCGGAGGAGCGGCCTGCTCCCTTGCTGCCGTAGTTACGCACGCGGTGCTTTGTCGGAACGGCTCCGGGGAGTCCGGGCCGAGAAGTGTTGCCTTGACGGTGCGCTTTGTGTGCAGCCAGAAATCGGCTAGAGAAGGGAGGGCTTTGCTTTTTCCTTCCAGAAACGTGACAAAAAGGCGTCGAGCCGAGATTGGGCTTGAGGCCATTCCATCTCTGTGCACGTTCAGGAAGTAATGGAGGTTTTCCTTTAAAGGTTATCATCCTCCTGTTTTCCTTTAGCCATAGGGGAAACCTCAGGAATGTGTCAGTATCCTTTAAATTCTGAAAAGCGCCCTGTCCTTCTGTGCTCAGTGTAGTGTCTAACATTCAACCTGGCAAACAGGCAAGTTTATTTTGTTGTGGTTGGTCTATGCCGTGCCTGAGCCCTGGGTTGGCTGTGGGTGGCTTTGGGATGAAAGGCCCCTGGGAAGTAGGATTCTCCACATTATACACCAGGGAAAGGCCCTTCTGGATACTTTCAGATTCCTTAAGTATAAATAGATAGGTTGAGAAATGAATACTGAGAAGCCCTGTACAATGAAATGCTTTAAGTTTGGCTGTTTGTCTTGTGTCGTTCTATTCGTTGGCAGGGTGTTTTGCTTTGTGTGTTGTTTTTTTTAACCAGCAAGAATTCAAATGATTTATAAGATCACTTACAACAGGTGAAAGCTGTTTAGAGATCATTCTGTGACAGAAGACATCAGAGCAGTAGTAGGTATTACTCTGATTTTTACTCATTTCCAAACCTTTCCCTCAGAGGTCCTTGCCCCTGTTCCTGTATTTTGTTGTTGACCTCGATGCCTTGTTCTTGTTTCCTTTTAAATGGAGAATGTTCCTGTCCTTAGCAGTTGTGTTCCGTTTGTCCAACACAGTTTGGGCATCGCATCGACACCTGTTGAGGAATCTGATTATCTTTCTTGCTTCATCGCAAGCACACATTATTTCCCAGCTTATAATGGTTGTAGGGACCAGATTCTCTCCGTGTATTTTTGAGTGTGTCTGTCTTCTGGGTTGCTTTTTTAGAGTCTTCGCATTTTATTGTTGTCGACATTTCACACAGCAGTGGGTAACAACGTTAATGCAAGAATTTCATTAATGGTTGCCAAGAGTTTTAACACCATTGTCTTCTACCCATTCTTGCATTTGGACCTGGACATACCGTGCCATCCCTTTCACGGGTGGCTCCAACGTGTTCCATGCAACAGGCTTCTTTGTTGCAAAAAAAACCATTTTAAATTCCTAAATCCCCGCAGCAGCACACATCTCCCACCCTGGGAAGCATGATTCCCAGAAACCCTGAGCTTATTATTCTTTATGTCTGTTTAAAAATAAGCAGGCGGACGGGCCGCCGGGCCACTATGGAGTTCCCTGTGCACACTGGCGAGCCCGCACCTCTCCCCTGCCGGGGTGGATCCCGGCCCCTCGCTCCCGCTCCAGGGCCAACTTTGGGGGCTGGCGTGGGGGGCAGGTGCGCGGGGCCAGGTGCCACGCGCGTTTGGGGGGTCGGGAGGGTTCGGGTGTGGGGGTGGGGAGGTAGGCACTGAAGCCCATCCGGCCCAAGCAGCCCGGGGAGCGAGGCCCGACGCGCAGGCTTCTCGCCTCGCTGGCATGAAGCCGCGGCCCCGTTGGGGAAAGAGGTTCCCGGCCCGGAACCTTAGAACCCCGGAAACCCAAAACCTTCAAAACCCGGACGGGGGACCCCCGGAATCCCTTTTTCCACCCCAAAGGG